ATGAAAGGTTCTTCTTAAGGGCCATGAAAATCACAAGCAGCCTGAAGTAGTCTGAACAGAAGGGTGAAGCCCCTATGCTCTTCATCCTGATGAAGGATATAAGTTGAGTAAGTTGCCATAACTCAAACCACAGATGCTTCTGCCCAAAGTCCGATGTTTCCTTTTTAAAGCTACAGGAATCTTGTCCACATTCATCTCTAGCTTCTCAAGTGCCATGTGAAAGAATCAGTTCTGTATACTGTTTATTAAGGGGGTGTGGGGGGTGGGGAACAAAGATAAATCATGCTTAAAAAATCATGAACTTTTCAATATGCCAGCCATGTGTTGCAAATCAAATCTTGCAGATCAAATGCTGCTTCCCTAATGCTGGTAGTCCTTGCTTGTAAGATTGTGGAGATTCAGTAGATTCCACAGGCTTGTTCAAGGACTGCTAGCAGCCACCCAGTAGACAAATGGCAGTGAGACATTGGAATGGCAGATTGGGGAAGCCTTGAGCCCTATTGCTGCTGATGCATCTGTTGGCTGCACCCAACACACACACACACACACACACACACACACACTCTGCTGAAAACACATCCCTTCCAGACACACTGTGATTTGAGTCTACCAATAAAGGCAAATTTTGAATGGAAGCAAATATAGAGTACTCAGTCAAACTGTAGCCCGATTCCAAAATAGTTCTGAAGTTTCTTATATGGACTTATTCAGTTTGGACCCTAAAAAACATGTTTTGCTTTGAAAAAAGAGAAGACTGGATAGATCTCCAAAGCAGGCAGCTTTGTTTTGGTATTCAGATTCACTTGAAGATGATTCACTTGAAGATGGACTTTTTGATCTGGGAGGCTGAAATATTGCTGATGTTACTGATCCTAACCAATCTGCACACTCTTCTCCTTTCAGAACTCACTGCAGAATAGAAGAATGCCTGTGTTCCTTCCAGACTCTGAAAGGACATTCAGACTACTGTATCCACGATTTTAAAGTACCAGCAGTCTTTATGGATGCTAAGAAGTTCTTGCTTAGCACAGAAAGATATAATCCATAGTTGTTTCTCTTCGATCTAAAACAGTATCTTGATACTTTTTTCTCCTTCCTCCTTGAGCGGTTAGCATTGTGTGACATTAATCTTCCAACTCACAACATGACCAACAAAACCAGGTTTCCTTACAGGTAAGAGCTATGCCTACTGGACAGTCTTAAGGACCCTTATCATGCATTCCTCAGGATACTTTCCTCTCACCCATAGCCCTCACTGCACAGAGTTTGCATTTCTTTCAAGTCCTTGCAAACTCCTGATTTTTTTGACTCATGGTTAATCTACCCAAAATATAAAGTAGGCCTGCCTCACACACTGACTCTGTGTTTCATACTCCACACTACAATCCATATTCCAACTATGATAAATGAGCTTACTCTGGAATCCTGAAAGTTATGTCTGTTTTGTAAGAGGATTGTGACTGCCTCACTGATACACTGGATGTTCTGAAGATCCTGACATGGATCTTTTCTCAGGTTAAAGGGATATGAAAGCATGGACACTTGAAGGATGTAATTTGTTTCCTCCCAAGTGACCATAGACTTACCAGTTCTTTTCTGTCACTGATGATCACAAGGTCTGATTGCCAATCTCTACATGTAGCTTTGCTTATCAGCCATGTTTCTTTCTCTTCAGAAAACCAGTAATCATTCCCTCTGAATCGTTCCCACCTTGGTTGCGTCAAAGGAATCTGGGCTACAGCAAGATGCAAGGAATAAAGGATTTTGAAAGTGATAGTGACAGTTGCAGGAGTGCCAGAAACACGACACACATAAACTTTCATTAGGACCATCTTGATTCCATTCCAATGTCACCACTGGGATTTGATTGTTATTCCCTGTTACCACTACAAGCATTTTTGTCTTATTGACAGAGCACATTACTATTTCTGGAGAATGTCTTTTGACGGTGATTTTGAGTCTGTTTTCCTGTTGCACAATGGAGGGAGATGCTGATCTAGTGGCTGAATTCCCAGCCTGGTTCTCCATTATTCAGCAGCTTCCCTGCTACTTCCTGCTTCCTGATCTAACTCTTCCTCTCCTCCAGCATGAAGTCCAGTGAATGCAGGAAAGCTGTGCCCACTTGCCTTCCTTTCAATTAAAATATGCACGCCCCCCAGAGCAAAAGGTTGCTTTAAGTTCAGGGAAGGCTAGAGCTAATGTAACCAGAGCATGACTGCAAAAATCCAAATGACCACAAGATTGCAGCAAAGAGTTCTCTGCATCTCTTTCTTGCCAACTAGTGGCCATCCAGATTTTTGCAGCAGAAGAGGCTTGTTCAAAACCCCACTGTTGGCTGAAACATCTGGAACCCAGAGCTGTCAAAATGTTCAGGGTTTAGTTTCTGCTGAAATGCCCAAAACAGGTCAACAGAATTTCCAGAATGCAATGTTTTGTTTCAGGTTTGCCACACTATGGCTTCGGTGAAGTTGGCTTAGTCTGAATTCAGCCCATTGCATTTTAGGGCATGCTTTCAGGCCCAAAATTGCAATTAAAAATAGTTAACACAGCCATACTATAACTAAAGCAGCTTTTCTTTTTCTTTAGTTTACTGTAATGTTGTAAGGAAACTACAAAACCTTGAGGATGCATTAATGGGTATTAACAATGTATTTCTTTTCAGAACCATTGACTGTTTAGCGTTTGCCTAAATGTAGGATCATATTCTCTGCAGAAAATTCCTGGAAAGCAAAGTTACAGGCAATTTTCTTAATCTTTTAGGTGCTGATTTTGCACAATTGAAAACAACACCTCATGACTGTGCTCTTTAAAGATCAGTTCAAGGTCTGTTTTCTTGTAAGGAGAAAGAAAGAGACTTATGAATTTTTTCATAAGGAGATGAGAAATCCACAGAAGAGTCCTAATCTGCAAGCTTCTAAACTTTGCTCCCTCAGATGTTTTACCTAATTCCCTCTGTAAACAATTCCTATGTGATATCAATAATGCAAGACATTCTACCACCCATCTTGGTTGAATAGCCCTTCCTCTTAGATATGGACTACCATATCTAAATGAGACAGCTCACTAGAAGTGCTAATAATGAAGCTAAACTTAAATATTTTGGGTGCATAATGTGGGGAAAAATAGAAGACAATTGTTGTCAGAAGACAAGGTGGGTAAATCCATCAAACAGGAGAGTACAAGAACTTAATGGATTAGTGGCTGGAAGAAAATCTTGGTCACAAAGACTTGGAAGTGACTGAATAATTGAATAACCACTGTTTAGATTACTGAAATCTGGATGACCGCTATAGGGCAGTAAAGGTATACTGAAAAGTTTAACTCTTTGATGCCCTCTAGTGCAGGGTTCCTCAACCTTGGCAACTTTAATTTGCGGGCTGGGGAATTCTGGAAGTTGAAGTTCACCCATCTTAAAGTTGCCAAGTTTGAGGAACCCTGCACTAGTGGTCTTCAAGGTTTTCTGGAGCTGATATGGCAGCCCTATCTGAGTCAATATGAGGAACGCCATCAAAAGACACTACGTAGTAATAAAATGTGGCTCATATTAAATCTTATGTATTTATTGCCCAGAAGGAACTTTTTACCCTAGGATACAGATATGCTGATTAAATGAAAATGTGAAGGGAAAGCAGCTGATTTGCAGTTTTTAATATCTCACACAAGATAGCTTCAGTTAATTATCTTCTCTCACTCTGTTTTAAAAGAAACTTCTCAATTTATGTTGTCCACCCCTAACCTTGTAGACAGTCAGATACATGAGCTATCTTCCACCACTCTGGTATTCCAAGGTTCACTAGCGGGGTTATCTCTTCCTGCACTCCCCTTCCACCCATCCCTAGCTGGCTGTCAAATATGGAGGAAAAAAAAAAAAGAATTTCACTTCCTACCTGTGGTAGGAAGCAAGGGAGAGAGGGAAGAGGTCTGCTCAGGAGAGGGGGTCCACCCTAGGAAACAAAAAATTGGTTGCCATCATTTACATCCTAAATCTACATTGCGTTTACATCCTCAATACTCAGTGGTACACAAAATTTTAAAAAGCAGTCATAAGTCATGTATGCATCCTTTCTCAGCAAAACTACTCTTCTTTTGACACTAAAGGAACAGAACTGTAGCAAACAGGTCAAAGTAACAAGTTCAAACATGCCTTTGCAGGAAAATGTGCCATGGAGCAAACAAGAGCATGAAGCACATACACCTACATTTAGCAATCCTACCAGCATAGAGATGTTTGCATTTTCATTTTTAATTTATATTATTATTATCATTATAATTCCAAGAAAAGAAGAAAAAGAAATAACACTGATACAAATACACACTGAAAGGACATAGAAAATGTAGTAAGGAAAAGAAGAAGAAAAAGAAACCAGTGTAAGCAACATAATACAGGAGATCAAATCTCTACTAACCAACACATCTAAAATATCATATGGCTAATATATTCTAATGCACCATTAACAACTTAGAGTACTATAAGATATTTCATATCCAATTTCTAGTCAAAACATGTCTCTGTTGAACTGTAAAAATATTTGGTTGGCACAACGGAAATCAGTAAGAGGAAATGGAAAAGCTATAAATGATAAACAATACATTAATATAGTGTAAATAATATGTAGGCTGTGTATTAAATTAAAATATAGACTCTAGAACCCAAATTTGGAATGTGGCATAATTACATGTATATAATTGTAATCCAGAAATGGTTTCCAAATAAGATTGAACTGTACATCAGATTTATTTTTAGATATGAAGTTATTCTAGACATCGAAGCACATTCCCACAATTTAATTAACCATTCTTCCATCAGGGGATCAGAGATCTTTTCCAATAAAAAGCATATAAACTTGCAGCTGTTATCATATATAATGCCAATGCATTATGTTTTGAAGGAATATGCAGTTTGGTAAAGTTTAATAAAAATATCTTAGACTGAAATTTCAGAATTTATTCCATTCTGCAAGGAATTAATTTCCAGTATTATTGAGCTTTGCAACATTGTACTATGTATGGAAGAAAGCTCCAAACTTTTTATAGCATTTCTAGCATTTTGAGGGGGTTTTTTGTTTTGTTTTGGTTTTGGGTTTTGGGTTTTGGGGTTTTTTTTCATTTTTAAAGTCTCCATAAAGAAAGTCAAGAGGAGGAATGAATGATGTAACCATCATCAAAGACTCCAAGAGTCCACCAACCAGAGTAACTTTCTGCTTTTCAAATCCACTCCTAGGCAAAAGCTTCCCAGGAGGCAACCAAACAGAATTGGGGTTCTGGCTTCTGCTGCTGTTGTTTTAGGAGAAGCATTCACTGGACAGCCTAACCTGCTCTTCCTGCCTTTATAAGGACTGAAGCTGGTGAGGCAAGAACCAATTATTCCCCTCTAGGTCATTCCCCTCTAGATCCTGTAGACATAGTTTATGAACCATGCAGCAGATGACTACAAATGACACTTAAGGGATTGCACTTTATATTTAGACCCGCTCTCTGTGACCATGGAGCCGCAGCTGAGATTTGATACAGCTCATGCTCTATAGAGAGTTCAAGGCCATATTCACTTCATCTGCTGTGTAAAGCCACATCCAGCACCTCAGCATGAAGCAGGACCTACCTGTTCCTCAGTCGGGATCATGGGAAGAGCTGAGACCTTCCATAGCAGACATTGCTTCATTTCTCATCTTAGTGCACAGTGAGGCAAAGTAATAAGCACACGCTGCACTCAGTTGGACCAAATATCTGGGATGGACATGAGGATCAGGGCCTGCAGCTTGTAGAATCTTGCCATTCCTCCCTGCATTAGTGATACAGGGAGGGCACCATCTGCTTGTTGAAGATGGTGTGTGTGAGGGCATCTGGAAGTCAGGGGCGATCAAATGAAAAGAGCTTCTAGCATCCATGTTGTATGGCTAGTCATCCAAAGCCATCAGCTACAGAACAGCACATGTCAAACATCCAATGCCTTTGGACCATCTTATTGCTTGCCACCTCACAGCTGTTTCCACCCTACATAAGCATCTTGCTCTCTTTGAGAAGAGCTTCTTTGCCTCTAGTCAGCAATGCAGGTTGCCTAGTGTGGCCAAATTTGGGAGACATCTAGATGAGGCTTACTTAATTGTACTTAAGCTCCTCTCATTCAATGGGGAAAATTCTTGCATATCGAAAACCCTTTTCCTCAGATTGAGAAAAGGGGTTTTCAACATTCAAGAATGTTGAAATTGAATGGGAGGAGTTTAAGCAAAATACCACATAATATGGTTTTCTCTCAACAGACTTCAGAGTACATTTATCCCCCATCCAGTTATTTTCTAGACCCAGAAATCTCTGGATTTTTATGTAGAGTTACCTGAATAATTTTCTTTAGAGGTAAAAGTGATGTTTCCCATGGGAAAGATCTGTGGAACTAAAAAGAAGAGCATTTTTAAATAGCAGCTGATAAAAATTGCTTAATATTTTTGCTAAAATAAAGTATGAAGTAAACTCAATTGTTTTGTCATCATAGTTCATTGTCAGCTGAGGGAGTCAAAGGAAAGATAAGAGCCAAGCCCTTAGTTTAAATCTCAAGTTTTCCCTAGGGAACCTTCTGTCTCTCCATATCAGTCTTAATCTGCCTCTTGTTTTCAATGTTGGGATAATAAAAAAAGCACTGTAAAGAATGACTGTGGCATATAAAAGCATTTCTTTGAAAAACCAAAAACCATCTTGTAAACAATAGGGCTTATTTATTTCTTTACATATTGAGGCATAGTAAAACACAGAAACTCAACACATTTCAGTAGTAGTAGTAGTAGTAGTAGTAGTAATAATAATAATAATAATAATTTATTAACCGTATGCCACCAATTACTCTGGGTGGCTCATGACAATCAAAGACATTACAATAAAATCAATAAAAAATAAAAAATAAAATAACAGAAGAGTGAGATATGGCTTTACTTTTTCAAATATAAATATATAGATCAGTATTTCAAAACCCCAAAGCCCTTATAAAATATACAAGACAGGAAGAAATGAGAAAAGAAAGAGACAATGAGATGATTATCAAAGAAGCATTGACATTAAAATCTGGCCAGTACTCACGAAAAACAAAAAATAGAGATGTCCCTGTGACCTTGACCAGTAAAAGGATTACTCCAGGAGCTACTTGTTGCCAATTCATTCTGGTTAATCTGAAAAAGTTCAATAGCATTTCAATGACACCCCATGTTTTAGCAAGTTAATTTTCCAGAGCAGTGTACAAATGCTGAAATTTGTCAATCAATGGACGTGACAGATTGGATGACAAATATCTCTCTGTGAGTTAAATCTGAGTAACTTTAGCCCAACTTTCTCCTACCGGATGACGTCCAGATACATTGGATATCAACTCTCAGAATCCCTTGTGCTTCTTAAGGAGGGCTGCTTTACTTGGATCTGAGCAGACTGTCTTCTTCTTTCTCAACAGATACCACTTTGAACCACCATGACATTAGAAGGTGGAGGAGGAGAATAGTGACACACTCTAATATGTTCTATACTTCTACCATAAGTATATAAGAAGAATAAGATATATATAAGAAAGATCCATAAATGTATAACATACATATACCCTACAGCTTGGAATAGAATGTAGGGAATGTAGATACAGTAGGTTTACAGAATATTTTCTCTATATCCCAGCCAATTCTAATAAATGTGAGAAAGTACTATTAAATATAGTATCTGTGTGGACTGTATATGTATATATAATAATTTAATTGCTAGTTTAAAAATATTCAGAAATAAATCCTACCATATCAAGCAGAGCTTACTTCTGAATGTGTAGACACAATGTTAATTTTACTAACAAGTTTCAGGCACTGTTTTGCCAGTGGGTTGTTATTCTTTTCATATGCAGTTAGTGCTGTCTGTACAGTGTTCTGATTATTTCTTTATTATTATTTCATTTATCTGGCTGTCCAACTCCAGGTGACTTACAGCATAAAATACTTTAAATATTGTACAAAAGAAGAGATAAAAAGATAGGCTGCTCAAATCACAGATAACATCTCAGAAGAGCCTCCAGTGGAAAAACACAGGGAAAGAGAAGGCTCTGAGCAGATCCCAAAACGATGATGATGTGCTCCTATTTAGAAGAAATTTTGATATAAAAAGATGCCACTTTGTGTAAAACACACATGGAATGACTTTGTATAAAGACAATAATCACTAGAGGCAAAAGATTAGACTTACAATACACAAACAGAAAACAATTTTAGTGCAGTTCTTAGCTAATTTGTTCCTATTTTATCTATTTTTATTTAATCTTCTTTTTTATATTGTTTTATTGTAACATATTCAATGTGTCCCTTTCTCCATGTTTTAAGACTTAATTTTTAGGTGTTATATAACCGCTATACTACCTTTGTTGTATCTGTGTTTTTCACCTTGTTAGTCATTGACCACAATGTAATAAATATTAAATTAAATTCTCTTTCTCTCCCCACATACCTCAGTGCATACCTTGTTTATCCTCCTCCTGCTTGAGAACTCCTTCCAGTTTCCAAAAGAACAAAAACTTTTTCACCTGGAGAGGTGAGAAGGGTTGCAGGGGAATCTGTGTGCTAAAGTCAGGGTCTATCCTTAGGAAGGTCTTACTTGAGGTGGACAAATGTATATTCCATCTGGGAAACAGCTGTAAATGCTGGATGGCATCGGAGCGCATGCAATGCAAGAAACAGGGTGTATGGGGAGAAAAAGAGATTGACTGCTATTCCTGATCCAAGGGCAGCAAGAATGGCAAGAGACGATGTGTCACCAAAACTAGGCTAAAGAAGAATTATGCATTTCCAAAAAAAAAAAAAGAACCTTTCTTTTCCTCATGTAAAAATAGCCCTGATCTAGATGACTCAAATTTATGCAATTTGTACATTTTGGATGTACAATGTACTGTACAATTTTGTACAGTAGCAACTGTTTCAGGAGCAGACTGCCTTTTAGACTGCTATTGCACAACGATTATTTCTACGGGTCACCTCCCAAAGTCTCCTCGTCTGAGTTGGGCAGCTGTATAAATGCAATAAATAAATAAATAAATCCCCCCCATTTATATTTTTTTTCCAAATAACATTATTGGATTTTAAGGTAAGAAAGATAAAAACTAACAAAAACTAATATTTAAGATAGAGAGTAAAGAAAGAAAAAAGGAATGAAAAAGAAAGAAAGTCAAAAGGGCAGAAAGAAAAAGAAAAAGGAAGAAAGAGAAATGCAAAGAAGAATGACTTCCAACTTTCCTTGCAACAGATATAAGTATAAATTTACATTAAACTCTGACTCTAAGTTTACAACATAACTTTCGTTTTTTCTATTCTTTCTAATCATCTAATCTATATATCATAATTATCCATATATCATAATTCCCATTTCTTGTGCGTTATTTTAATTCTTGTTTAGAGTGGGTGATTTTATTGCCGGCTGGCTGCTTTATTAAGGGTTGCTTTCATTCTTTTTGTATACCTCTGGGGTGTGATTGTGAGATCACATTAATTCATTACTACCTTTGAAATAGGCTTTGCCAATGTTGAGGTCTCCCCACGTGTCAGATTTCGAATCTGTACTGGCTAGGGATTATAGAAAAATCCAACACTTCCAGACAATCCTAGGTTCAGAAAGACTCGACTCAAATTAAGTGGATTAGAGACCCTAATATTAAAGAGGCAGCATCTCTTTTATAATCTGTTAACAATCCGTGTTGAAAAAAATCCAAAATGACAGAGCTCATTAACAATACAATGTGGATTCTCTGGTTTGGATTAATGCAACGTCTGCTTTATTGCTGTGTGTGGCTTATTCAGGAAATTCTAGTTAAAACAAGCACTAATTTAATGTATGATGTAAACCCAGAAGTGCTGGAGGGTGGGGTTGAGCGTCTCCTTTCCTGCTAGCCAGAAAAAAAAAATAAAGGCAGATGGAAGGAACCTACTACTAGCAAGTTCTTCTCAGGGGAGGATATAATTTATTTTATTTTTATTTTAAAATCGGTATAAAAGGTAAAGGCCATCTTGAATCAAGCTCAGCTCTTCAAGGACGTCGGCATCTATGCAATTTTCTTGGCAAGAGGGTGGAAAAGTTGTGTTGTTGTTTTCTCTTGCTGGAGTGTTGCTCTCTTCCTAATCTAGCCTACACCCTGGGAATTCCCCAATTAGCCCCGATGTTATGCAATACTTTTATTAGAAGAACCTCTCCCGTGCCACAAAAAGAACAGATAAATGTTTACTGAACTTGCAAAATGCCCAATTTTGGATGGGATTTCTAATTCCCAATCATTTTACTTCCACACACCACCCAAAGTTGATCATGAACAAGTGTAGGAGTGGGTTTTATGTGGAAAGACCAAAGTTCCACTCACTTCTGGGACTCAAAACAAATGCCGTAGGATAGAATCTGTCAGTAGCATCTATGCATGTATGTATATATTTTATGATTTATTACATCTGTATTTTGGACGACAGTCCTAAATAAAACAAAAACATTTCTAACATTTTTCATTTCTAACATTGTAGCCCAGGGCTTGAGCTAACCTGGAAGCGTCATCCATTTCAGAGTAGAAATTCAGCACCGAAAAAGAACCCAAATCAAAACGGATCTCTGAAACAGTTTAACCCTTATCTTGAAGCAGATCATGTAATATTATTGGGTTTCTAAGTTAGCAGTCTGTTATTTGATGGATTTGATAACCACACTTTAATTTTAGAAAAGAAAAAAAGAAGAAATGGAAATATTACTTATCAAGAGGATTCCGCAGAGATGAGAAAGTACTCCAATATAATTCTTCAGCAGATGACAGCTGTCTGAACATTTTTCATTCCCTTTAGATTTATGCAGTCTCACTCTTCCTAAGCAACTGTTAAGCCCTAAGAAGTTATGCTACTTCTCCCTTTGTGTGAAGATATTAGCAATACACACTCATACACGCCACTGTCTGAGTTATGAAACACTTCCTTTTTCTCAAGACTTCCTACCAAGCACAAGTTTGGCAGCTGGACTTGGACTCATGGCTTGTACAGTTTGGTATAAAGTGATGGCTTGGATATTTGTGGACTAGAGCTATAAAAACACTTTTAGACTGTGTATTAGACATCCTCCAAATTGATTGGATGTCAGACCCCATAATTGTAGCCCCTGTGGCCCACACCTAAAGGTACCAAGCTGGAGAAGTGCTGAGCATAAATATCTGGAAAGCACAATATGTTTTATGTTGAAGCCTGCACTACTCCTTTGAATGGCATGCCAGTGGCTATGCACAAAAGCTAAAATTAAAAACAAATTTGGGATTAAAAACCCATTACATTTTATTAATTAAATAGAAATTGAAATGAAATGAGAATTAATTAGAGTTCATACCATTTACTTTCCATGTAGTCACAAATTACAATTTATCAGCCATTGTTGGAGAAGCTCTGGAGGACATATCCAAGACTTTTGTAGGTAACATGTAGCCCGTAAGGCTGAGATTAATTGCCTTTGATTAACCCTGTGATCTTGGAAGTAACTCTCAGTGAACTCATTGCAACTTACTTTCTGGGTAAAAATGTTCTGTAAGAATGACTGATTCATATTTATCAGGAGTAGAAAATCTGAGGTCAGGCTTGTTGGGGCTTCTGGGAGTGGTAGGACATCTGAAAACCCAGTTTAGTCCAAAACTAATTTAGATATCTCCCTGTTCCCCTTCCATAGTTCCCCCATCTCCCACCACCTGAGCAAATCATAATCTATTCTCTCCACTAGCCAGACACAGTCCTAAAATCAACCCCTTGAAAAAACCTTTTGAAATTACCTGGTCAGAGAGCAAGGAAAGGGTACAACCAGTACTTCACAAAGAAAAAAAGAACTTGCCAGTAGTAGCTTTCTTCCATCTGTTTGTCTTCTATAAGCATAGTGCCAGCAGTCTGGATGCCAGCTGGATGATGGAATGAATTCTGACACCTTAAGAGAATCTTTTGGAATCTTGCTGGGTGGAAGGAAAGAAGAAATGAGTGAATGTATAAAGAAAAGCTTTCAAAACTTAGATGAGTGCTTCCTAGCTCAACTCAGAAAAGGCTGGGGAATCAAATCAGAGCAAGCCGAAGCTGAATTTGGAGAAGACAGCTATTGCTGATGTCAGGGTCTGGACTTCTAGATCTAGGAGATATGCCTATTCTGGGTGGAATTCCACAATCGATTCACAAACTGGGTGTCATCTTAGATCTGGCATTGAAAATGGAAAACTATATATTATCTATGGCAGAGGTAACTTTTACTAGCTTTGGCTGATAAACTGGTTGTGCCCCTCCTTGGAGGAGAGAGGCCTGATCCCCCTTGACATATGAACTATAAATCTCAAGCTTAGACTCTTGCAATATGTGCTTGGTGAGGCAGCCCTTGAAAACAGTTCAGAAATTGTAACTAGTTCAGAACATGGCAGGGTGGATGCAAACAATGTTTCTCAGGTACAGTGGTACCTTGGGTCATGAACGCTTCTGTTCACAACCAATTCAGGTCACGAACAGCTCCGTTCGCAAATTTTTGCCTCCATTCGCGAACGCCGGATCAGGTTATGAACAGGATCCACGGCCATTTTCCCTCCCGTGACACGTGGTCGTGGCTTCCTGTAGGGAGGGGGACTCTCCCTCCAAGCAAGAACTGCCTCCCCGCCCACCTTCCTGTCCTCCACGCCAGAAGTCGCGTCGAGCAAGGTTAGCGTTCTCTCTCTCCGTACTGTATTTTGTTTCATATTTTTGCGGTTTTAAAAAAAGACACATATGGTTCAGAACAGATTAACCTCAATTACATTGAACCTTATGGGGAAATTTGATTCAGGACGCGACCAAAATCAGGTCGCGACCAAATTCGGAGGGGTCAGAACAGATTAACCGTATTTACATTGAACCTTATGGGGAAATTTGATTCAGGACGCGACCAAAATCAGGTCGCGACCAAATTCGGAGGGGTCAGAACAGATTAACCGTATTTACATTGAACCTTATGGGGAAATTTGATTCAGGACGCGACCAAAATCAGGTCGCGACCAAATTCGGAGGGGTCAGAACAGATTAACCGTATTTACATTGAACCTTATGGGAAAATTTGATTCAGGTCGCGACCGATTCGGGTCGCGACCAGAGTCGCGGAATGAATTAAGTTCGTGAATCGAGGTACCACTGTATACCACTTCAGTCCCATGTTAAAACAACCACCCTGGTTCCTGGTTACTTTTTGAACCCAATTTAAGATGCTTACAATAGTATACAAAATCTTATATGGCTTAGACCCAAGGTCGTTGCAAAACCCCTATGTTCATATATTCTCCCTTCATCTTCAGTGGGGCACTCTTTGTGCTGTATTTGACAACTATATCAACTGTTTTCTCCATGGTAGGACAAAATGCCATTGGGGTTAAGGCTTGTGTCATCCCCTCCTCCAACAACTTATCACCATTGAGGGAGGAATGACTTCAACCCATCCCACCCAGTCACACAGAGAGGGCATGCTTCGGACCCCCTCAGTAAAAGAACTCTGGCTAGTGGGGTCCAGAAGGCGGGCCTTCTCTGCGGTAGCCCCAGCTTTTTGGAACATTCTTCCCCCGGGGTGCGATTGGCCCCCTCACTCCTGGCCTTCCGAAGGGCTTTGAAGACCTGGTTCTGCCACTTGGCCTGAGGTGAGGAGGGAATACTTCAAGCATGGGGATGGCTAGCCCCATAGAGGCCTGCTGTCTTCAGCTCCAGATTCTTCATCTTCTTGGACTCTCCTTTTCCCTTTTTTAGTAATATTTTTAAATTTTTGATGTTTTATGTATTTATATATATTTATGGTTTTAATGTTTTGTGCGAGTTGCCCAGAGTCCCCCATTGGGAGGAGATGGGCAGGGGAGAAATGTAATAAATAAATTAAATTAAATTAAATTAAATTAAATTAAATTAAATTAAATTAAATTAAATTAAATTAAAT